TGTGTGTGTGTGTGTGTGTGTGTGTGTGTGTGTGTGTGTATGTGCATGTAACAAGCTGTGCTTTCTGTCACAGGACAAAGGCAAGATGAAATTACATCTACTTCTGGCTCTTCTAGTTGGGGGAGCTTCTGCTCTTCATCTGAGTAAGTCTTCTGCCCCTCAGCCTTTCTCTCCCCCTTCTGTTCCTATCTGGAATAGATGTGGTTTGAAGCATGTAAGCACCCCCTTTGCTCAGCATTCCCTGTTTCAGAATCTTTATAGGACACCTAAGAACATCTGTTGTGTCTGGAACCTTGGTTCTTCTGTGGCATTCCCTATTTTGTTCATTCTACATAATGCTGATGATATTCACACTTATAGTAACTTCTTTTTACTTTGGACTTGCTGAGCATTTTCTGTGAGTTATCTCCTCTAATTCCCAGAGCATCCTCATGAGGTTCCCTAGCATTGCATACAAACTTCACAAAGAAATAAAGCTAGTAGATGCTAGATCCAGTGCCCCAAACCACAGAGACTAGAATCTAAGCTCTCGCTGTTAACCACCTTGACCACTTTGGGAAAGTTTGGGTGTCTCCTCATCATGTGGTTGTAGGTTCCTCTTTCCAGGCAGGGTTATGTACACTGGTACCCAGGGTGTGTGGTGGGAACTGCCCATGGTTCTGGAGAGAACGGGAAGATGTGAAAGAAAGACACTAGATTTTAACCTGCCAGGGTCTGAAACTTCCGACTTTGAAAGCCCCATGGGAGATGAGACCTTGCTTCAGGCTGGGGAGATATTAAGACAGGAAGCAGAGGAGTGTCTTTCTGGGAAGGAACTCATGCCACCGGAGGAAGAAGAGGAGGAGGCCTCTGGTAGTGAAGGTGCCCCTGAGGACGAGGGAGCTATCCATTCAGTCTCAGCCCTGGATGTGATGGACAAGGACTTTCAGTGCCCCAAGGAGGAAGATACAGTGAAGCTGGTGGGAAGCCCTAGATTCAAAATCAATCGCTTCCTCCTGGTGAGGGCAGCTAAGAAGTTTGGCCAAGCTCAGGTGAGTGACCTGTGACTGAGACTGGGAGTGGGGACAGAGACAGGGAATGTGTCTCCAACTTTCACACCACTGTGGGTTCTGGGAGGCATCAACAGAGGGTAACAGACTCCAGGGGAGCTGGGTGAGAGGGGAGAGTCATGTGGAGACATGCTGTATTGTCTTCCAATGGCTCTCCAGTCTTCCAATGGCTGTGGCTAGGGAGGGAGAGAGGAAGAGAGGTGGGGATTGGTAATGAATTTTGGATACTTAGAGATCCTGAGACTGTGAGTTCACGCAGATGGAGAGAGTGACACCCCTCCTCCTCTTTTGTCCTGTCCTGCAGTTTGTTTGCCAGCGTTGTTACCGGGGCACCCTTGTTTCCATCCACGACTTCAACTTGAACTCCCGAATCCACAACTCTGTTAGGGGACTCAACGAAGGCCAAATCTGGATTGGAGGCAGGGTCGTGGGCTCGGTAAGAGGGATGCCAGATTTAAATGTGGAGCACCTGATCTCAACCAGTGTCCCCCTTGCTGCAGCTATGACTGTGTTTCCCCTCGACCATCCCCCAAGGAGCTGAAGACAGAAGGCCACCCAGGCAAGGCACTGAGGTTCCACCAAGAGTTTAGAATCAGATTTGGTCCACAATCCTCCCAGCCTATCTGTCTGTATGGTCTGGGCAAGCCTGGGGGCCCGTTTCCCCACCTCTAGGACGTGGATGGTTGCCCCTGCCCCATCTCTCATTAAGGATATAAGGATGATTATGTCATGGGGATATATGGAATGGGGTGGTGATGATCACTGTAAGTCAACAGTTCAGTTGGTTGGGACAGTATCCATCATGATCCTGTGGTCAAGGGCTAGTGGTGGACCTCAGGACCTAACAGGGACAGTACCAGCTGCCTCTCTGCCATTGCACTCCTCCTATCCTCCCCAGGGTCGCAACAAATGCTTTCGCTGGGTTGATGGAAGTTCTTGGAATTTTGCGTACTGGGCTGCTGGCCAACCCCAGACCCGTAGAGGCTCATGTGTGACCCTGTGTACCCAAGGTGAAACTGTGTGGGGATGTGAATGAAGGGAAGGCCTTCCAAGGAACAGTGCCAGGAAGAGAGCCTGGCTATTCAGAGGGAGGCCTTCTGGGTGAGGTGTGGAGCTTGTGGGAAGGAGCAAGGCCCTCTCTGGGGTTGTGTGAGAGTGGACAAGGGGATGACAGTCTCTTATTTTGCTTTTCACAGGAGGCCACTGGCGCCTCTCTGTTTGTAACAAGAGGCGGCCTTTCATCTGTTCGTACTGAGCTGGTCCCAGGAGATCAAATTCACCATTTTCTGGACAGCTACCTACCCTGTCCTGCCAGATGCCCCTCATACTTCCCTGCAATAAAATTGCTTTACTAAACAGGTTTCTTTTCTCCTGTGGTCACTGGTCACTCTGTGTGGTCTCATTTTGAGCGTTCTGTCTCATCATCTCTTGCTACTCCATACATTTCATGGAAGGAACCACAAGTTACCACCCATCAATGATTGAGGGTGCAGTGGGGGTCCATGGAGCATTCTGGTGACAGAGAAATGGGCTCAGGTGGCTCTAACGAGCCCACAGAAGACCCAGTTACAGAGCATCTGTGCAGCAGGTGCTCTCAGGATCCCATTGGACTCTCAGTCACCTATATGGGCATCTTCATGACATTTTTACCCCCTAGAACTCTAATTGGTTTGAAGTATAAGGAAATAAACTGTCCCTAGCAACAGTCCAAAACTCTAAGGGGTGGGTGGATAAGTAGCTGTCCCTTGCCCATTGTATTAATGACTTTTCCTTTTGTTATGATAAAACCCTGATAAAAACAACTTAGGAGAGAATCTATTCGAGTTCACAGTTTAAGGGTATGGTTCATTGTGTTAGGAAGGTCCTGGTGAGAGGGGATTGAGGCAACAGGTTATGTTGCATCCACAGTCAGGAAGCAGAGAATGAGTGTGTATGCTCGGCTAGCATCTTCCTTCTTTTCTTTTTCTTTCTTTTTTCTTTTTTTTTTTTTTGATCTTTTTTGAGACAGGGTCTCCCTGTAGCTCCAGCTGACCTAGAACTCACTGTGTAGACCAGGCTGGCCTTGAACTTACAGAGATCCGGCTGCCTCTGCCTCCCCAGTGCTGGGATTAAAGGGGTGCACTACCATGCCTGGCACTTTTTTTCTTTTTAAGTGATCTCTTTACAAGTGTTTTGATGGCCGGTATGTTTTACTGGTATGTGTGAAGTGTCTGAGAAGGTCTCAAGATGACCATGTGGGTGCTGGGAATCGAACTCTAGTCCCCTGGAAAAACAGCAAATGCTCTTAACCCCTGAGTTACCTCTCCAGTCTCATTAAATATTTTATTTATTATTTTTATTTTTTGTGTATGAATGTATTTCCTGCATGTATGTCAGTAAATGTACCCACAACCTGCAGTGCCCCTGGAACTAGAGTTACAGATGGTTGTTAGATGCCATGTGGGTGCTGGGTATCGAACCCAGGTCCTCTGCAAGAGCAGTCGGGCCCCTTAACTGCAGAGCCGTCTCTCCAGGCTTCTTATTCCTTTTTATACAGCTCAGGATCCATGTCCATGGAATGATGAATCTTCTACCTTTTCACCTCAGTTAACCTAAACAAGATAACTCCTCACAGGCATGGCCAGAAGCTTGTCTCCTAGGTGGTGCTAGATCCTAAGTTGATGATCAGTATCAACCATCACTTATCAAGTGGAACAAGCCTTCAGCATGTGCTGCATGCCATTTCTCAGTTATCCAGTAAGGTGGCTGGGCCATACAGCATTATTTTATTGGCTGCTTACTTCCCTCCAGGTGGAGTTTCTCTTCCACATCAGTGTTTCTGCACTTCCCAAATTAACTTTAGAACTTGTACTCAAATCCTTGTCTCAGTCTCTACTTCTGAGGAAACCCAATGTAAAATTTTTCTATGTGTCAGACTCTCAATGAGGCCTGGGAATAGAAGACACAGGGTTTTTTTTTTTTTTTGTGTGTGTGTGTGTGTGTGTTTGTGTGTGTGTTTCAGGAGCATCTATAATATAAGCATGATAACACGTACTAGTTGTTACCACTTACTGAGCACCCACCTGCCATAGAAAACACCTTGCATAGATTGTCTTGTCCTATGTCGTTATTACCCTCACTGTACAGAACTAGGCTCAGAGAGGTTCTACCCTGAGGATACTTGTCAAAGTCCAAACATCTGAATGCCCTCAGTGCCAGGATTTGGCTTTCTCTGCTTCCATGACTGGAAGTGTTGGCTATTCTCCCTCGCTCCTGGCTTCATCTGAGGGCATAAAACTCAACCCATCTGGAGGTGAAGAAGCTCCAGTTAAAGGTGAGGAAGAAAGGCTTTTTAACTCTAGGTGATGCTAGATCCTGTTCCAGGGGCACTGCAGGTCGTGGGTGCATTTACTGACATACATGCAGGAAATACATTCATACACAAAAAATAAAAATAATAAATAAACTCTATAGGGGAGTTAAGTAGGAAGAAAGGGATCAATGGCCTGAGCCTGGTTCTTTCATAAATCTTCCAACTTCATATGAGGCCAGGGTCTGTAATTTTTTTGAGTGGCTCAAAGAGAGGAAGCTATTTGTTTAAGGCCAGTTACTCAATACATTGAGAAAGAGATAGAAGCCACAGTTTGGTCCGTTGCAACCACTGCTCCATGTCTGTCTGTTGATTTCATAGATGGCAAACTTCTGAAACATTATGTTTCATCTCTGTGGGAGAGACCGAGGGTGCACCTGAAGGATAACTTTCACCACAAGCCCTCATGGGCTCCATCTTCTGCAGTGGGACAGCATTACTTCCCCTTATTCGATTACTACTAATAAAGAATTATAGGGACCGGGGCCATAACTCAGTGGTAGAGCAATTGCCTAGTATATGTGAGGTCCTGGGTTCCATCCCAGTACTGAAATAAATGAAAGTATAAGTAAATGTATGAATAAACAAGAAACAAGTAAAAGAAAGCCTTCTATGTACTAAACACACTATTTTAAATGCCCTGGACTCTATTAGGGGATTTTGTCTGGATCTTCAGGAATTCCTGTTAGGGATTGTTGTGATTCCCAGTCTATGAATGTCCCTTTGGGGAATGTGAAGGAGCAGGCAGGAGGCATGTTCTGTACATTGCTTTGAGTGTAGTTGTCAGACACTGTTACTGTAGTTTTCCTGTTATAGTTCCCCTGCAAGTACGTTTGGAAGGCTGGGTATAAGATCATCCTTGGCCACACAGAAAGTTTGAGGTCAGCTTGAGCTACATGACACTGTCTCAATAAAAGAATAAAGTTCGTAAAATAGGTAGACTGGCCTTACATTCCAAGAGATGGGTTGTGTGAACATTTCTTCTGTCTATCAGGATGCTAGCCCAACACTATGAAACGAAGATCATACCTTTAGAGGGAATGCTTAGAGCTGCTACATTATGCAAAGCGGGATGTAGGAACTTAGCCTCGTCAGAAAGCACAATACATTGCTTTTTCACTGACAAGGGCCACCATTCCTCTCCTTTCCTGACAAGGACCATCCAAAGCCCCACATGCCTCAGCTCATAACATGGCTCACAAGGGCACCCTGACTCCATATACCAGGCACTTCTCTGACAGCTCTGCTCCAGCTGGTCTCTTTAGAGAAAGGCCCTGTCATGTCCTCAGTTTAGAGTGGCTGACTCTTGACCTTGGGTTTTGTCACCTATCACACCCCTGGCTTCTCATGATTATGAGAGTCATCCTTTCAGTAAAACAGGGTTGGACTGAGTCTTCAGACAAAAGCAGAGTTAGAAACCCTCATGAACATAAATGCAAGCAGTGAGCCGGAGGCTTGGAGGCATTGGCACCATTGGCTAGACTGTCTGGGGCAACACGTTTGGATGCATTAAACAAGGGCCCTGGAGTTCTGAGAACTAGAACAAATCATCCAGCCTCTCTGAGTTTTTTCAGCAATGTGTAGCTTATCGATGGCAATACCCCATTTGTAGGATGATTTCTAAGGGTTACATATAAAAATGGATGAAAAAAATCTTAATGAAGCACAGTATGGTCTGGAGTGGACCTTCACAAATGTCACTTCTGGTTTTCAGTGAGACAGGCACCATTGTGGTCTTTCATGTCAGGGTCATTGAGGTCACAGGAATGTCTTTTCTCAGGGTTTATGTGGGAAAAACTGGGATCCATATGAGTGAGGAAATGGACTCGGAGAGGAGGGAAGTCCATGAGAGGTGGGATGAGTAAGGGGCACAGAACATTGAGCTTAGACTGTTCTCCTGGTATGGGTCCCAGGTGAGGAGAATAATAGGTAGTAGTGTTTATGTTTTCCCTCTTCCTTCACTGGGGTGATCCCAAACTTGAAACCCACAGATTAGGTTTGGGGGTCTTGGAATTGACTAACCATCCCAGTCAGGTAGATAAGGAGGTGGTTTGGTCCGTTGGGTGGAGAGATAACAGCCAAGGCCGTTGCTCTGCAATCAGGCACAGAAGTGATAAGTTACTTCTCCATTTGTAGGTCCCTTGGGAGAGCAGAGGAGAGCAAGGCATCCAGGTACCTTGCCCTTTGGGTGAGCTGTCTCTGCTGCCCTCCAGGTATGAGCCAGGATGTGGATGACAAGTGTTCACTGCTCCGCAGGACACCTCTAAGCTGTGTCACTCTCACTCCCAACAATCCACAAGCTCTTGCTGGAAGATGTGGCAAAGTCAGAGTTAGGTACTTGCTGGCTTCTCTTTGGACAGCAAATGAATGACTGGGAACGTGGTTGTTTAAAAGTTTGGTATTTTAGGCTGGGCGTGGTGGCACGCGCCTTTAATTCCAGCACTCCAGAGGCAGGGGCAGGCAGATCTCTGTGAGTTCAAGGTCAGCCTGGTCTACATAGTGAATTTCAGGCCAGCTAGGACTACAGGGAGATCCTTTTTCAAAAAAACCAAAAAAAAAAAAAAAAAAAGATATTTTACTCATCATGAATATTTTGCATTCAATTTCTTTTTAAGAAAGAGTGTATTAAAATATTAAAATATTACTTTATTTGACATTGAATTGTGTCCCCTTAAATTTGTCATCTTGGATGAGTGTCTCATTGTTTGATCCTAGTCCTAATTCTAGTGGCGACAGAGAGCTGATGGGAGGTAAGAGGTGAGGGTGGGGTGGGCAGGGTGTTCTACAGACTGACTGGATGACTCTGCCTGAGGCCTTTCATCCCAGATGCTGTCTCTTTGCCAGCCTTGAAGGTGTATCTGGAGGTTTCAGTCTAAGTTAGTGTTGCCTAAAATGTTACAGAGGATGTTAGGAAATGTGTGGAGATGGTTTTTGTTGTGGAGTGTGTGTGTGTGTGTGTGTGTGTGTGTGTGTGTGTGTGTTACTGACATCTAGTGGATAAAGACAAGCAGTGCTTTAAACTTTCTGCAATGAACAGGGCATTCCTCACTAGTATTTGGCTCCAATTATTATTTTAAAAAATATTTTATTTATTATTTTTATGTGTATGAGTGTATTGTCTGCATATATGTAAGTGCACCCATGCTTTACAATGGCCATGGAGGTCAGAAGAGGGCATCAGGTTCTCCTGGAACTGGAGTTACAGATGGTTGTTAGCCACCATGTGGGTACTGGGAATTGAACCCCAATCCTCTGCATCAGCAGCCAGTGCTCTTAACTGCTAAGCCATCTCTCCAGGCCTGGCTCCAATTAGTGAGAGCACAAAGTTTGAGAAAACTTAATATAGATCCATAGTCCAGAAGAAATAGCACACAAATTGAAGATGAGAGAGGGAGTGATTTAAGGGAGTGAGGGAAGAGAGAGAGAGAGTTGAAGTTGTAAAGACTTCCCTGCCCCATGACTTCCCATGCAAGCTTGGCAAGTCCTTTTCCTTCTCTGAACCCCATCTACAGAGCAGGATGGTCCTGAAGTCCTAGTGGGAATGGGTGAAGGTGGGGATCAAGGGTGTGTTGTATATAAAGTATCTCATGTGGCTGCTGAGGCTCTGCTGCTCCTTTTCTCCCTCCTTTCATGGTTCCCTGTTGCTCCCTGGGATTTGCATATCACTTCTTGGATTAGTGACCTTGAGCAGTTGTTTCTGGGTTAAGGGGTATCATTCAGTCTGGGTACTTTAGAGGTGCTAATACTAATTACACCTGGATGATAGGCATGACACTAATAATAATTACACCTGGCTGATGGGCATGGCATCACACAAGGCTCTCAGACAAACCAGTGTGTGATGGCTTCCATGTAAGGCAGCAGGCCCTAGCATGGATAAGAGTCTGGGGTGAAGAAAACTGAACAATTTTTTATCAGTTCCATTCTCCCCAACCCCAGTCTGGGGCAATCACCCTGGCCCCTTCTTACTTCCCCCAAAACACATTATAAGGGCTGGTTGTGGGGATGGCAGCCACTGGCCAGAGAGTGGAGGCCACAGACCCTTGGGAGGTGAGTGTCTTTGTCCAGAGCTGGGATGGAAGCAAGACCCATTAGGGAAAATATCTGAAAGGGCTGTCCTTAGACCATGATGGCCACTGCCTCCTCCTTCCCCAGCATAGGCGAAATCAACTCTGGCTTGAGTCTGACACCTGAAAGTCTGGTGTCTGGGTTGAGTGTGGTTCTAGGGAGCAGCCATTAAGATCTCAGAAGAAGGGAACTTTTGTAGCCGAGTTACCCCTCCCCTGACTCCTGTTTTAGGCTCTCTAGTCCAGGGTCTGTCCACTGGAGGAGGAGGAAGCTCTGTGGTCTTCCCTTTACTCAAGTAATTAAACAAGTATCATATCACGTGCCAGAAGTTGTGCTAGTCACACAAGGACAGTCTGAGGACGAAGGTGGAATTGCCTCCACTACAGAACTAAGAAGACATGAAACAGCCCCTGCTTCTGCCTCTGCTCCTGCTGGGAACAATTTCTGCTTTTCATCTGGGTAAGTCCTCTCCTATGTTTTCACCTACCATTCTCTTTTCTCCTCCCACTCACACTCCCCTCTGTTTTCTCTCTCATGGGGCCAGGACCAGTGTGTCTTTTTCAAGTGAGCCATTCATCTCTGGCCAGAAGGAAAAAGCTCTTGTACATTAAGATGAAGGCCTAGTGACCATTCCAGGCTTCTCACAAGTGCTCTCCATTACCACATACACCTGTGGTACCAGCCAGAGGCCAGGTTCTCCTCTACCTGTGAGTCTGGCTCCAGATGGCTGTCCCTAGGAAGGCACTAGTGGAAGGTTGGAGCTGTCCAAGGTCCTAGAAAGAAAGTGGACTTGATATAGTTACCTCTTAATTTTTTTAAAATTAAAACTTGTTTAAAATAAAACTTGTTTAGGAGATGGAGAGTTGATTCAGTGGTTAAGAGCACTGGTTGCTCTTGCAGAGGACCTGGGTCGATTCCCAGCATTCACATTGTGACTAACAACCATCCGTAACTGCAGTTCCATGGAATCTGCCCTCTCTGACCTCTGTGGACACTGCACAACACGGGTGCACTTCCATGCATGCAGAAAATACACTCATACACATAAAATAAAAATAAATAAAATATTTTAATAACTTTGTTGAAATTCTTGAAATTTTCATACAATATGATGGTATTTAGATCCCCTCCCCTGTCTGGACCTCCCTCGCTGCCCCCACCAATTCAATATACTCCACTATATATGCAATACGGCCTATAGAGTAGTTTGACTTGTGTTCCTAATTGTCCCTCAGAGTATGTTCATCCACTGGAGCCTGGTCAACCTACCAAGAATCCCATAGGGATGGGAGAAGACACTGTCTTCTCCCACTCTCAGAAACCATCAGTTGCCAAAAGTTCTTTAGGTTGGGTTGGGATTTATTTTTTATAATATTTTATTTATTATTTTAATTTTATGTGTGTGAGTCTATGGCTTGCATGCATGTGAGTGCACCCATGTTGTGCAGTGCCTGTGGAGGTCAGAAGAAAGCATTGTATTCCCTGGAACTGGAATTATGGATGGTTGTTAGTCACATGTGAATTCTAGGAGTAGAATTCAGGTCTTCTACAAAAGTATCTAGTGCTCTCAACTGCTAAGCCATCTCTCCAGCCCCAGGTTGGGATTTCTTAACCACTTCCCCATGTCTATGCTGGGATTTTGTCTGGTTTGAACTTGCATGGGGCTTGTGCATACTGTCACCATTGTGAGTTCACATAACTGACCAGCTGTCTGGAAAACTCTGTGTCCTTTGGTCATCCACCTCCTCTGGCTCCTACAGTCTTTTTGACCCTGGTTACTTCTTCTTAGAGAATGCTGTCTCCCATCTGGAGAGCCCAAAGAGAGAGGAAGACCTGGTGCAGGATCTAGATGGTGCAGAGGAGCAGAAGGGAAAGCTGGCCTTGAACCAAGAAGTGATGAAGACAGAAGGAGTTAAGGTTGAGGCTTCCAGACAGGAAGATGCTTTTGAGAATGAGGAGGCCATGGAGTCAGACCCAGCTGCCTTAGACAAGGAGTTGGTGTGCCCAAGAGAAGAGGACACAGTTAGTGTGCAGGGAAATCCTGGGTGCAACACCTGCCAGTACCTGCTGGTGAGGACCCCCAATACATTTGATAAGGCTCAGGTAAGTGTCAGGGAGATACTGGGGAAGGTCAAGAGGAGGGAAGGGACTGGATTCAACCTTCTGTTTTCCATTTAGATGAGCTGTTCTCAAAGTTTCAGAATCACCTGAAGGTTTCATTAAAATACAGACTTTGGATCTCCACTCATGCAATCTTTGAATCTGGAGGCCTGGGGAGGCTCTGAGGATTTGTGTGTGTAACAAAGTCCCAGGTGATGGTGATCTTCTGGGTCAGAAAATTGCATTTTCAGAACCACTGATCTCAGCAAAACACTTTGGTATTAGAAATACCAGTGTTTCACAGAAGAGGGGGCAAAAAGGTGGTCAGAGTCAGAGGTTGGGGAGGACTGGGGAGAGACAATGTCTTCGGGACATGACAGGACCATTGCACATATGAACTCACAGTAGCTGTTGCTGCCTGTACAAGGTCAAGACAATCAACATTGCAGCATGGGTCGGCAGGGGCATGCAGACCATCACTCCTGGCTGAGGAACTATTGACAGCTTCTGGACTGCTGGGGAGGAAGAGTCAGTTTTCTTTAGGGGTGTGATCCATGGTAGGTTGGCCATGGTCCATTGGATGGCCTTACATCCATGCATATATAGGCAGCTCAATTGGTCTAAATTAGTTTATAAAAAATTAAAAATAGGATCTGAAATTGGGAAGTGGTGGTAGAGATCTTGGAGGAGCTAAGAAAAGAGTGGTGTGATGGCCGATATGATCAAAATACATTGTATTGTATGATGTATTAATAACTACAAATATATTAAAATCATATGCTAAGAAATCAACCCCTGTAAAGATTCAAAATGATAGGTTTACCCTTTTGCATCTCACTCAATACTGTCTGTGCGGTCCACCCTGGGACCTGCCCCTGTCTGTATGTTTACACACACACACACACACACACACACACACACACACACACACTCACACATGTATGTATTTCCATAGGATATCTCAGAATTTGGTAACTGCATTGAGACAGAATTAAAAGTAGTAATCTTAAACAGAGTAATCTTTAAAAGAGTAATCTTACCTTTAAAACCAGAAGTAGATGTATTAAACACTGTTTCTATCTTTCATTGACTGTGTTACCTGGGCAAGTCACTTCACCTTTCAGAGCACAAGATATTCCAAATGAAGATTCTGTGAAATGACACAGTTGTCTCTTAGTCCCCGTGGGGCGTTGGTCCCAGGATGCCATCCCCACTCCTGTCAACACCAACAACTGAGGAGGTTCAAGCTGCTTATGTATAAATGATGTAGTATTTGCACATTATCCATGCATATCCTCCTGTATTCTCTAAGCCATCTCTAGACCGCTTGTAATACCTAACAAATGCCATGTGAACAGTTCTTCTACTTTATTATGTAGGGACCAATGCCAAGGGAAAGATTCTGTATGTGTTCAGCACAGACACAATTTAAAAATTATTTTCAGGGGCTGGGGAGATGATTCAGTGGGTAAGTGTGCTTGTTCTACAAGCCTAGGGACCTGAGTTCAAATCTTTAGCACCCATGTGAAGAGTCAAGTAAGGCTGCATGTATCTGCAGCCTCACCACTGGAGGTAGGAGACAAGCGGATCCCGGGAGCTCACTGGCAGGCAGCCTGGCCAAACATGGAGCTTCCAGTTCACTGAGAGACTCTATCTCAAGGCAATAGCTGGAGACTGATAGAGGAGGACACCTGACATCCTGCCTGGCTTCTGCATGTGTGCAGGGTGCGCATCCGCATACTCACATACCTGCACCACACACACACACCACGTGCCTCCCCCATACACACACACACACACACACACACACACACACACACACACACACACACACGCACATGCACACACGCACACATTTTCAATGTGTGATTGGTTGAACCTGTGTGTGGGGAACCCACAGATATGGAGGGCTGACTATTGCACCATCTTCTAGAGTTGTGAGGGTTAAGTGAGATAATACATTTGGAATCATCATGTCAAATATTCCATAAGTGGCAGCTATAACTACAAAAAGGATTACTGTTTCCCTCAAGGCTGTCTTGAAAGCTGATTAAGGAGCAAAAGGTAAGGCTTGAGAAAGGTGAGTAGGTCCCTTATATTGAACCTGTGAAGGGTTGTAGAAATTTTTCTTAGAGATTTAGGATCTTGAGGCAAAGGAGAGTGAGTTTGCTTTGTCACCTCTTCCCTCTGCAGAGGATCTGCAGGAGATGCTACCGAGGCAACCTTGTCTCCATCCACAGCTTCAATTTCAACTACCAACTTCAGAGCTTGGCCAGGAAGATCAACCAGTCCTTCGTCTGGATTGGAGGCATCCTCAAGGGCTGGGTAAGTCAGGGTCCAGCCCACTACAGAAAGTTCTGATTATCCCGAGGGATAACTGCTGGCTCAGCAGGTAAAGCGTCTTTAGAGTGCCAGAGAGTAACATGACAGAGCTGGCCTCTTGGGAGAATTGCCTGCCCACACCTCTCACTAACTCCTTGTTCATTGACAAGCTTGTAACTCAGAATCAACTGTGGTGTAGTTACACCAAGGAAATTGGTAATTGCTATCAGTTAGTCAGGAGTCACTGTGATAAAATACCTGAATCAACTCATCAAGAAGAGAGGTTTATTTTGGTGCATAGTTTCAGAGGCTTAATCCAAAAGAACTTAATCTTCTTGGTTGGACTTGTGGCCACATAGTACATCATAATGGGAGTGTGGGGCAGAAGAGCTGTATTTAAGAGGAAGCAAAAGAAGAAAGAAAGGAGCTGGGTTCCAGGATCCTCTTCAACCACATGCCCTGAACTTTCTCCAAATAGGCCCCACCTCTGAAATGTCTTACCATCTCCCAATTGCATCATGGGTTGGGGACCAGGCCTTTAACACATGGACCTTTGGGGGACATTTCAGATTAAAATAATGAAGTTACAACCAGGGTTCCTTCCTATTTCCCACCTTCTCACTCTTTTCTGGAGCTTTTTCATGTGTTTGTATGGGTACACACATACCTACACCTGTGTGAGGCTGTATGTGGAGACATGAGGTCAACCTCAGGTGTTGTTCCTCAGGAATTGTTCACTCTATTTTTTGAGACAAGTCTCTTCACTGGGACCTGGGGGTCTTCAATTTGGCTGGCTAGTGAGCGCCAGGAAACCTACCTCTGTGCCCCCCCCCAACCCCCCAGCACTGGAATTTCAAGTGTGCACCAACATGCCCAGTTTTTTATGTGGCTGTTGAGGATCAAATTCAGCTCCTCATGATTTCCCTGTAAGCACTTTACCAGCTGTGCTGTTTTCCAGCTCCAAGAATTGGTTTTAAAATTCATCACTGGGGTCAGGAGACAGATTCTAGGAGACTGACTTGAGGCTCAGCTCAGTCGCTTACTAGCTGAAAGGCTTTCTCAGGTCCTTAGCTTTTCTTCAGCTATAAAATGGGGATCTCCTTCTTGAGGGGTAGCTCAAGAATTATACCAAGTTCTAGAGGAGTGGTCTGTGAACCAGAACCATTATCATCACCTTGCAGATCATAAGAGATGCAGAACTATAGGCCCTATACCCTTCCTCCTAAATATCTGTGTGCATGTTAATAAGATTCCCACAATACAGTTGGAGAAACCTGCTCTGTGTGGTGTCTCAGAGAAATGGCCCCTTGCAAACCCTCAGGGTTGGGTGGTGAGGGCATCTGGCTTCTGGGCAGAGGGGAAGTGAGAGGAGTCTTGGTTCTTCCCCATATTCCCACTGCTCTTCCTCTGTTCTCTGGTCCACCTTCTCTCTTCTCTAGTTCTTCTGGAAGAAGTTTCGCTGGACTGATGGGAGCTGCTGGGACTTTGGATATTGGGCCCCAGGACAGCCTGGGAGTGGGAGAGGACACTGTGTGACTCTGTGCACTAAAGGTGAGGGTACTGGGCCCCAGGCAAGGAGAAGCATTGAAAAAGTGGACTTTTAGTGGCTGTTTCCTTGAGGTGTGTCAGCACACCTCCCCAAATTCATACCTACCTTCCCCAAATGGAGGACTAAAACTCTGTCTGTGGGGCAGGCTGAGATGTAAAGACTCTTTAGAGCAAAATCAAGTGATGGAAAGTCCTATAGAGAAGAGTCCTTATTCATACCTGTACCTATTCCATACCTATACTTATATCTACATCTATAGTGGGGGTCCTTTACCTCCTCTGATATGAGGTTCACAAACTCCAATGACTGATATGATCAATGAGACCAGCAGTGTGAATGGAAAATGTGGATGGGAGAGAAGGGACGATGTGGGAATTGGAGACAGCTGAGCAACAACATGCCAGCTTCGAGCTGCAAATGTCGGGAAGAGTACAAATGCAGATGTGAGGTAGCTTAGTCTAGTGGCTGAGACTGTGTATGCTGGAGCAAGAGGGCTGTGATTCGCATGCCAGACCTGCTACATGCCAGCTGGGCTATAGCAAGTTATTTATCTCCATGAAGCTTGTTTCTGAACCCTCTGAAGACAATGATGCTGATGGAGGCATGGGGAGTACTGAATGTGATAGCCCAGAAAAAGCACTTGGGTCATTGTAAGGTTCAATAAAGTATGGCTGTGGGTAATGATGATGGCCATGGAAGAAGACATAACGGTCCCTGAGAGGGAACAGGTGGGGCTCAATCTAGTCCCCGGCTAGTTAATACACTGTGTTCTGTGTTGCAGGGGGCCACTGGCGAAGAGCTTCTTGCAAAAGTCGCCTGCCTTTCATCTGCTCCTTCTAAGACAGAGGCAGAGACCCTGACTTGGAGTCTCTTACCTTCACATCCCTGGCTGCTCAGCTCCCACCCTTGGCACTTGACTCTGTCCCCCAGCCTCTCTTGGTTATAAACTCAGACATCCTATAGCACTCCTTGAGTCTCGTTTCTTCATTGCCCCCTCTGGGGTACTCTAGTACGTTGAGAAAATGCTGGACGTGAAAGATGCTGAGGCTGATGTGGGTGCAGCGGGGGTGAGTCTGGGGCCATGATCGAGATTGGTACATGACATGGTAGAAGCACTGAGCCACCAGGAAGCTGAGCAGGGACTAGGCAATGCTCTCCCCAATCCCTTCTCCACTGGTCTCACATTCCACCCTTCCAGTGAGTGAGAGAAGAGAGGAGGGAAAGATTCCAATTAGTGGGAAGCTGTTCCTCCTTTGCTTGGCCTAGGTATGAGTGAGGCATCTGGTGGCTTCCCAAGATGGGTGTGAAATGTTTCATTCATGAGTTAGTGTGGATACTGAGATTGCACTTGGGTGACACCGTGAGGGCATGAGTGAAAGCAGCAGCCTGCTAGCTCTGTGTTGCTTGGCGTCCATCAAGGACTCCCATTTCCCATTCTTCCAGCCACCTTTGGGAAAGAGTTTGTTCTCCCCTCTGTCCTCCTCTCTTCATTCTGCAGAGAGGCCACAGCTTTAGGAAGAACTTCCCCGCCCCTGCCCCAACCGGTGGGTCTGAAGCAGAGGCAGGAGTTGGGCAACACCACAGATCTCATTCCTGTTGTTTTGGGCCTCAGCCCTCCTTTACCCGACTTTCTCAGACCCTGGAGGAACTGAGAGAAAACACTAGTGTTATCTTTAACTTTGTGCCAGCTGGAACACTGGGCTAGAAGGATTCTGCAAGAAGGATTTAGCATTGATAGAGCAGGAAATTCAGAGCTAAGACTTGGTATTAAAGAGTGTAGAAGGAGCCCTGGATTGTGTGTGTGTGTGTGTGTGTGTGTGTATGTGTATGTGTGTGTGTGTGTGTGTGTGTGTGTGCGCGCATCTGTGAGAGAAAGATTTGTGTGTGCACTGTACATGTGTGCATATGTACTTTAATGTATACATACATGTGCATATCTCTGTATGTGTGAACCTACATAAGTGTGTGCAAGTATATGCCAGTGTGTACTGGTGTGAGTGTGCACATATTTGTACTTTTCCATATTTTATGGGTATGTCTATCTATGTAGCTTATGTACCCTTATGTGCTTGAATTCTTGTGCATATGTGTGTGTATGCAGCCCTGTGTCTTTAACCATGTGTATGTATGTGTGTGTATGTGTCAATTTGACTGTGTGCATATTTATGCTTGTGTATGCATCTGCTGCAGTACGACATCAAGAGCAAAAAGCCAGTATTCCCAGGGATTCTGTTCCTAAGGCTACTGGGTTTGAGGGAACAGGACAGGGATGGGGCACAATCATGGACAATGGGTGGAGGGAGAATTAGTAGGATGAGTCCTTTGAACATGGCAGGTCTCTGGTCATAGGCACATGGACCATGGCATGGCCAGGAACCTCACTAATGTTGGTTGGGTCTCCAGGACTCTCACAGTAGAGGAGTCTGTCCCACTGCCTTGGAAGGAGATTGGGTCACACAGCTCCTGATCAGGGCCTGGAATCATGTAGGAGGGGGATCTTCCAGAGAGGTTCCCCCATGAGGGTCCTTGTAGTGAATGCTGCAATAAGTGGACTCTTGATGTTCTGCTTCTAAAGGGATAGTGGAATTACTGCAGGGAGTGGAAGATGAACAGTGAGGATATTATTTCAGTGGAACACCGAGTCCCTGGTTATCAGCCTTCATCTATATCTCTGACAGAGAATGGTCTTGTTTTGTACAGGACTATCCTGGGAGTCAACAGCTGCCATATTCCTGAGTTCAGCTATTCCCACTTGCCAAAGATCACCACAGCTGGGCTTGTTGACTGTTGCTGCCCTTGCATAAGAAAGCCAGGGAGAATTGCCAGACCCTCATCTGGGTACCTTCCGCACATTCTAACCCATGGTGGGCAATTCAGCCCTAACTGCATATGTCCTTGTGGAAGGGCTAGAGAATCTAGTCTGGGGAATACTAAGGAACCAGGGGCTTCATTTACATGGTTATGTGGAAGTTGTTATTCATGCCTGCTTGATGGGTAAAGACCTTCTGGTGCAGCCTTATGTGGGGAGTACCCATACTCTTGTAAGCAACCCCTCATGCATTGCTTGGTAAGCCCAATAAACTCACTGGTTCTCAAGAGTGAACTTTGGGGAAGTTTTACCTCTGTTTGTCATTGGGACCTTGGGAGGAGGGGGTGGCTGTTGTTGACATCTCCCCAGGGAAGGAGTTTTAGTAAAGGACTTCTATCCAACTGGGTAACCCAACATCTTGACAGCCAAAACCATAGGTAGAGATGTGGGGTGTGGGGGAAGCTCCTTCTAGACTAAAGCTTCCTTAGGGTACTATTGTGGAGTCTCTGACTCTGCCCTTATATAGTAATTGCTTTGGCTGTTTAAGCCTTTCCATTCTTGCATAGCTCTTGATTAAAAAGCAAATTCCCCCGAGAAAAGACATTCCCCAGAACCTTGTCTATTACTGCCCTTTGGAGGTTGGTTGGCAACTTGCTGAAATGAAGGGTTTGAGGGACGGGAAAGGTGTGGGACCGTCAGTGGGGATCCCACAGGAGGGGAAGAAGAGGAGCCTCGAGAAAAAGAAGTGAAGATGAAAAGGCAGTGACTGCTATGCTCAGTGTTGTCTCCTCCTGGGAACCAAGAGGACATACCCCAGTATTCCTTTGAAGGAAAGTTGGGCTTTGAAACTTATACCTGGGAGCTTGTCTCAGACAGCAGAGCTATCAGATTAAGAGGTATTCAGCCCACTTTGTTGAGATTTTACTTGTTATTGCAGCAAAGCCTTGCTTAGCCTAGCTAACATATACAGAAAAAATGTGTCAATAAATTTCATGATTTCTCCCCAGTAGATATACCCACAGGAGTCAATATCCCTGGGTCCAGCATCACAAAATTCTGGGTTCAAATCTCAGTTCTACATCCATTTCTTAAATTTAAGCTTCTTCTGCAAAATGAGGGTTTAACTAGGCAAAACCTGTCATACATTTAGCCCACAGATTGCCGATGGTGTGGCATCATTAAAAGATAGTTTTTTTTGTTGTTGTTGTTGTTTGCTTTGCTTTTTGTGACAGGGCCTCCCTATGTAGCCCTGACTTGCCTGAAGTTCACTATATAGACCAGGCTGGCCTCGAACTCACAGAGATCTGCCTGCCTCTGCCTCCTGAGTGTGGGTATTAGAGATGTACACTAAAGGATAATTTTTATACTGAGTAAACAATGTAGCCTTCAGAATGAATATGGTCCCAGTTCTGTTTCTATATACTGTCTGTTTTTGTACCAAACAGAATTAATAACAAACCACAGCAACCTCCCAAGCCATGGAGTGAAGGTTCACATGATTGTGTGGGTGACGGAGCTGAGCAAAACACAATGCATTAGACACAGACCGGCTGCTGTCATTAGTACTATTAGCCTACAGGAGTAGCACATTAGTTCGTACATGGGTAGCACAGGACAGGGTTTATACACTTACTGGCAGGCCCAGAAGGGGCTCAGGCACCTGAGAGAGGACCACCCCAGTCTAGGGCCCAGGGACCTTCTAGAACACAGTGCCCCGATCTCTTCCTAGGAAGCATCTCTGTGAACCCTGCCTTAGCCCACAGGGGACCTAAGGGCCTCCTTCTTGGAAAATGTGATGCTGCCTTTACTGATGTCTCTGCTGGAGAGATGAAACCTGGTCAGGTCTCTGAACACTGACAAGGTTCTGAGGCTGGTGCTGGGGAGACAGTATCCATCATCTGTGAGGATGCGACTGTGGGTGAGCACAGAGTAAGGGAGGGATTGATGAGCCTCATGTGGGGGAAACTCTAACCCCTTCTCTCCCTGGGGTGGGAGATCATTGGGGTCGGGTTTGTGTAAGTATCCCTGTGTAAGCCTGCCATACTGCCCCCAGAGTACCCCTCCTCGCACTTCTCTGCACCTTCTGGTGAGGGGCCAGCCCTCTATGTACACAGAAGCTAATTTCTAAGACCTTGCCTTCATGCTCACGTTCCCAGAGGCAGATTTACCCTGATACTAATGAGACTCATACCTCAGTCCTACTCATTTGCTTGAGTTCCTTCTGATACCTAATTCTGTGTTCCTTTTAGAAAGATACCCCCAGCTGGGAATGATGGCATTTGCCTATAAATCCCAATATTGCGGAGAGGTTGGGGCAGGAGGATTGCAAGTTTGAGGCCAGCCAGGACTGCATAGCAACACCTTGTTTCAAAATAAAATCCAATAAAATAGAACAAAAATTTAAAAAGCTCCCAAATTACAAATGCTTCAGGCTTCCTAAAACCTGGGTCTGCTCCTGATCTCTGCCCTTTGTGATGATGGGGGTCTCTCCTCTCACTAAATAAAAGCCCAGTAAGGAGACAGGGGATGTCTGGGTCAGTGGAGCCATGGTGGGCTTGACCTCTCAAATTGTGCCCTTCTCTGAATAGTAGGGAACCTGGGCTCTCTCTTGACTACTCACTCTGACATAGGACAAGTCATTTTCTGTTCCTGGCCTCAATGTGATGATCTGTAAGCAAGATGATTGGACAGGATGGTTTCTGAGGCCCCTTTAGCTTCTAACGGATTACATGTTCGGGTCCTATGGGGACAAGGCCTGGCTAACTTGGCTGAATTGCTCACAGGGCATCAGGTCTCCCTGTACCCTGCCACTTCTTTTGAGACAGTGTCTAATGTAACCCAGGCTAGCCTCAATCTCACTATGTAGCTGAGGATGAACTAATGAACTTGAACTTCTGATCCTGCTGCCTGTACCTCCTGAGTGTTACAGGTATTTGCCATCATGACCAGTTTATGTATTGCTGGGGAACAGTCCCCAGACTTCAATGCATGCTAGGCAAGCACTCTACCTACTAGGCTACATCCCGAGACCCTAGCTGTGACCTTTTCAACAATGTTTTAAATAAGGATTGCTGACTTCCTGGAGCATGATGCTAGGTCCAGGAATCACATTGTGTGTGTGTGTGTGTGTGTGTGTGTGTGTGTGTGTGTGCCCTCTCTGGATCCAGGAGTGAGGGTGCCCAGATATATGCATGCGTAGGTGCCCAGTGGGAGAATGAAAAGGGTCTTTCCTTGGCTTGAGGCTAAGTTGTGGAGTGAAGCAAGAAAAAATTCACTGACAGTTACGCCTCTAATTTCCTTCTGAACCTGGGACCTGCCCAAGTCAGAGATGAGACATAACACCCTGTCTAACTGGGCTCTTCTAAGGCAGGGTCTGCATTTTCCAAAAAGCCTAGGCTCACTATTAACCTAAATGTGGGCAGGAACAGGTGACCAATGGCAGAAGGGCTGATACTGAGGGAGTGGATAAACCAGATAGACTTGGGTTCAAATTTCACTTCCTAGCCATGTAGCATGTCTGGCTCCCTGAGCCTATGTTTACCTTCAAAACAAGGAAACGGATATATATCTACCTAGTAGGATTATTCTAAGGACTCAGTGAGATAATGTGTATGGAAGCGCTCACTTGGTAGGCCCTTGTGGGCATGTCCTTAACTGTCCTCATCTCTATTCTTTTGAAGGGGATTGACTCAGGTGCTGCTGTCTCAGGGGTCCTGGGAAGCAGATGGGGGCATGCAAGGGGTGCAGGCAAGATCCAGGTCTTCACAGGAAGTGCCACCTATCTGCTGGAAAATGAGGGCCCAGATCCCTGGGTGTGGCCTTTGAGGTGAGCAGCTGAAGTTAGAGAACTTCTTCTCCCCATCCACCCCATCTGCCTAGCTAGAGTGCCCTGATGAAGGTTCTGCAGACCAAGGGTGAGCATGGGGTCCTGAAAAGAGGCCCTAGTGGCCGATGGAGTAGGCTCCTGAGTCTGTGGACTGCTTCTCCACGGTGGCCTGGTCACTGGGGAATACTGGGTTGACCGAGGCAGCCCCCTTCAGGGTCGTTTCATTCACCTGCAGGCACAAGAGCTGGCATTGTCACATCTGCCCAACATCACCATCTTCCCGGATCACCCATTTCACAGAATCGTCAGTGAGGGCATCGGCCTGGTTCATATGGGAGTTAGAGCAAGTCTGTGGGAGCCCAGGACTTGGTATACACTCCAAGCACAAAAAGAAAGTCAAGCCATCTCCTGGTAGGATCTGTTCTGCCCCAGAGGTGGAGAAGGGGCAACAAGCGGTTGGTGATGCTGACAGCGACTACCTCCAGAAACTCCCCACCCCTAACATACGCTATTTTTCTTGCAGAAGATGGAGCCCAGGTTTTGTGCATGCTAGGTAAACAAGCACTTGACCACTGAGTTACACCACTAGCCCAAGATCTTCAGAGTCCATTCTTGGCTGAACCCTCTTTAGACCCCAAATATTCACTGAGATTCAATGAGCAGTTCAGAAAGTGAGCCACTGAGAGTCCCGGGGTTCCAGCCCTCCCCCTTTGCTCATGCTCTTCCCCCAACTTACCTCCTCAAACTTTCTGGCTTTGTAGTGGTCAGCCCCTTTGAGGAAATTGAGCAGGATGATGTCACAGAGAACAGTCCCCTAGAGGAGGGTGGGGGACCGGCAGGCTCAGAGGGTAGTCTTGATGAGTGGGAGCAGGTGGCAGGGTTGGAGTGGCCCTGAGCTTCCCAGGCCCTGATCAGGACTGCCCTAGGCTTACAGCAGGCTGAGGCGGGGGTGGAGTAAGATCTTTCAGAGAGGCCTGACTGGCATTTCCTCTCAGAAAAATGCCCAGAAATTCTCAGGATGTCTCCATGGTCCACCTTTCCAGTTGCTGAGCAATACCCCAGACCACAACAAACACAGAGTGTGGTAGGAAAAGCAAGGGACCTGGGGAGGGGTCCCTGGGAGTGGGTCTTTTTCTACCTTGCCTGGTGGCTTTGCTCCTCACTAAGGTACCCAAAGTCTATGGAAACATGGAGTCTCCCTACTTTCTTGGTGAGAAGCAGGAATTTATTATTAGGTGGAGCCTCATGAAGTAGAAAGGCAGTATCTTGGGAAATAATGACTGGAGGTATCCTACCCAGGGCTACTTAGCAGGAGGTGGTGGAGGCAGGAGGGAGGGCTTGGCTGGGCTGTTCATTGCAGGCTGTGCCTGGCTGGGCCCCACCCTGACTGCCTTGGGAGAGCCTGGAAGGACTGAACTCACCACTCCTACAGATGTGAAGGCTGCCACAGAGCTGATGATGGTGGGGATGATGTTGAACTTGCCGGCCTGTATGCATAAAAACTGCATGTGGGCAGAGGGCTCAGCAGGTTTGGGGTAAAGTCTGAGACTGTGGGGCCTGAAGGGTTTTGGGTAGATCAGCGTGTCCCACCCTTCAAAGTTACAGGGGAAGTGTTAGGAGATGCAGCCAGCTGGGGCAGACCCCTCTATCAGAAGGCTCTTCAGAACCTGGGCACTGGCCTGGGATACCTCCCCTGTTCATGTCATCTGCCCAGCCCAGGACTCACATTCCCGTACACCAGCACGTCAAAGCGGATGCCAAAAGCCTTCAGGAGTGTTCGGTACTCGCTGCCATTCTCCATTTTGTAGTATTTAGCAAACCTAGAGGCCAGAGATGAAAGTGGGTCCGCATGTGGACTTCTGTCTCTCCTGCCACAGGGTCCTTTAGTGTCCTGTGGCTCTCCCCAAGCTACTGTACAGACATCCGTCATGGAGACTTCAAAGAGCAGATTCCTGGGCCACACCCAGGACCTATAGAACCTTCATTTTTATGCCATGTATCCAAGACTCTCCCTGTAAAATAATTTCCGTGTGTGTGTGTGTGTGTGTGTGTGTGTGTGTGTGTGTGTACACACATGCATGCTGGAGGCAGCCAAGGTCTGCTGTCTTCCTTGATTGCTCTCCACCTTATTTTTTGAGACAGGGTCTCTCACTAAACCTGGAGTTCATTAACTGTCTAGACTGGCTGGCTAGTGAGACCCCAGGATCTTCCTGTCTCTACCTCCCCAGTACTGGGATTACCTGGCCTTTAAAAATGTGGGTGCTGAGGATCAAACTCAAGTACTTTACCCACTGAACCGTCTTCCCAGGTCCCTCCCTTGATAATTTTTATGTGAAGGTTTGAACCGTAGCTGGCCCCAGGCTTCTTGAGTTATTACTTGAGTATCACAGGTCTCATCCTTAACCTACCTGGGTTCAAAGCCTGGCTTGACCATCTACCAGTTATGTAACAATGCACCAGTTATTTAACCTCTCTGAGGCTCAGGTGCCTCATCTGTGAATGGGAAGAATACAATTGTCCTGCTCCACAGGGTGGCCCAGAGCATTAATACTTTACTTATGGCATTGTAGAACAGTCCTGGGGCATAGTAAGCACCCAGGAAACACCTGCTGAAGTTGACCATTGTTATTTGTTGAACATGTATGTTTTTATCCAAATGGTAATTGAGAAAAGTGCATCCTGATACCACACCTCATTCCACCTTTGCCTCAATCCTGTGGCAAAGGGAAATGATTTTGCTGTTTTTCAGAGGAGGCTCTGAGAGGTTAAATGACTCGCCCAGGTTGTCTCATCAGAGAAATTCGGTGCCAGGTTTACCCAAGTCCAATACTTTCACCCCTACTCCTCAGCTTTGGCTGCTGGGTGCCTTGTGATGAGCTGGGTGGATTCTTTATAGGAATGATCACATTTCACTCTCCCCACTGACCCAGGTGGTGTCCACACAAAAGGGAGCATTCACACCCCATTTTGTAGATGGCAGGGCAGGGATGTGCCTGTGGTTTCACAGTAAGTCTTGGGCTTGGATTGGAACTGTATTAACCTTTTGACTTTTAAAGTCAATGCACATCTCTCTATGTGTCTGCCTATTGCAGACCAAACTCTAAGGGCAGAATATGTCCTCTTTGGGCTAATTCCCACTAGTGCAAAATGGGCCCCTGATGTCAGGATTAAGTGAAGTAATGGAAATGGAAGAGCCCAGAAAGCCCTAAGTGTGTGAGGCCAGCACTGCTCTTGTTCAGTGCTGGCTTCTCCCTCTGAATCTTCCCAGTCTCCACAGGTCCCCAGTCCTCTCCTGGCTGAGAGAGGGGTCTGAGAGCCCTTTTCTCGAACATGAGCCATGACTGATGTGCTACCTTTCTCGGGGACATTTGCATTTGAAACTGTACTGGTGGGAGAAGGAGATGCTCAGCACAAGTGGATCTGAACTGAAGGATCACAGGAGAGGAGGTGGGGAATTGTGGAACCGTTGGCTACCACTCTGGCTGCCTTTGCACTGTGGGGAACTCTGGAATTGGACAGAAATGAGTCTAGCTCCTGCAGTCACCATCTGCAAACAGTACAGCCTTTTATGTTAGGGTGTCAGTTTCCATGTCTATAAAAATAGGGGTGCACATGCCCCCTTAAAGCTCTGTTAGCAGGAGGGCGTAAACACTTTCTGAGATCAACTCTTCGAGGCAGGCACTATTGAAATTCCTGTGTCAGATTTCATCTACCCCAACACTCATTCTCTGCCCCCTATCTGTGAGGATCTAGGCCCAGTGAGCTTGGTCTGAGAGATTGCTTCTGTCAAGCACATTGTTGGGCTCTTAGGTGGGTTCATCCAATGGGAAGTACAGTCAGGAGGGCAGAAAGGTCAGGGTGTTCAGTCTGCTCAGCCCCAATGGCTTAGTTCCCCTTGCAAGGCCAGGAGCTGATGGCACAGCCTTGTTTGGCTGCCTCAGCTATCCAGAGTCTACAGTCTGCTCCCTCTCCTTGCCCATGCCAAGCCCAGGGTAGCAGCTCCCACATGCTTCCAGCCCGAGGGTCTTTTACCCGCCTGGCTGGCTCCCCTTACCCCATGTCTTTGTGCAGTATTTCTTCAATCCCATCACCCCTCTTGAGGCCACCTACCCTAACACCTACCCTCTTGAGGCCACCTACCCCCACTTCAGAGGAGGAAGCTCAGGTCCAGAGACCTTTACCAGGGTTGGGAAGGAGTACCAAAGTTCAGGCAGATTTCTGTCCCTGCCAATGCCTGGGCATGGCCAGAGTGGTGTGCCTCAGTGATGAACCGTTGCCTAAGCAAGGCTGAAAACTATTCAGTGAAAAAGTTTCCCTAAGTATACCCAACCCAGAAAGGTTTCTTGTGGACTCTGCAGCCGAAAGGACAGTGTGAGAGGAGAAAGGAGGGTCTTCTCTGGGGGTGGGGTGGCGGGGTGGGGAGGGTAAAAATGAGAGTGACCCAGGAAGGAGCCCGAAGGAAGTACAGCCACTGAGCAGGAAGAAGGGAAGGCCTACAGGTCAAGGAAAGGGATGAAGGGGAGAGGGCTACACAGGTCAAGGAAAAGCAGAATGAATTCAAGTGCAGCAGCAGGAAGATGATGGGATAGACAGTAGGAAGGATGCCATCTCTAAGATGGGGACCAAGAAGTCAGTTCTCCAAGGAGGCCTCTAGGGGAGGTCTCAAGTTTGGAAAAGGAGAATCTGGAATGGGCAGAAAACTCCAGGAACCTGTGGCTTTCAGACTGACTTGAGGGTGTTCACAGACCTCTATACCCACCATGTATAGGGCACCAGGAACATGTGCAGAATACCCCATTTAATCTCATAAAGAACACACTGTTGTTGGCCATTAGACAGAGGAGTGGGTAACTTGCTTGAGTTGAGATTCTGACCTATACAGATGACTCCACCTCCTATACTTGGAATCCTTGAACCATCTCTGGCTCCAGGCAGTTGTTAAGGACACAGGCAGCCCTGAGGAAGGTCTCAAAATCCTTCTAAAGTCTATGTTCTTACACCACTGGAGAATTCAAGGTCTCAGAGATGTGGCTCTCACAGTGCCTGGGGTGCGGGGGGTAAGGGGTGGATCACAGGTATCTGATACAGGCAGAGGTTGGGCCTGTGGGGCCTTCATTCCCAAACTGGGGCTGCATCCATGACAAATGCTCTGACATCGACTCAGAGAACAAGAAGTTGGCATCCTAGGCCCTGCTGGTTAAATTTATCCTGGGAAGAAATGTGAAGGGAACAGGGAGAAAAATCAGAGCGGACTTGGTTTTCCTCCAGCACCTGCCTTCCAAGAGGCAATAAGCATGGTAAGATCATTATCTCATCAGCCACCCACCCTTGAGAAGGCTTGGCAGGGATAGCTTCTCTTTCTGGGTGGGAGGGAGGAGTTGTACATCACACACAGGAGGGCCTAGGCTGCAGGCAGGGTGCCGTCCCAGAATCCAGCTTCTGCTCCTATGTGGCCAATGGAGATCACAGAATCTGCTTCATTCCTGTGGCAGGGACAGCTCTACACTAGGGTTATCTTCTCTCTTAGGATGCTTGGCCCTCACTTCCCAATCCCTTGTACCTAACTGGGCTCCCATCACTGGCTCTTGACAATGGAATGTGGAAGTAAGTAAGGCTTTGTTACCTTGGGCTGGGATCAGTGCGATGGACCTTCTGCAGTCTCTCTTTTCTCAACTGATGGCCAGAGGCATAGGAGCCAGGGGAGATTGCTGAGGTGATCCTGGGAAATACTGAGTCAAGATGAAGGAGGACAGATGGCAGAATGACTTTGTGTGCTGCTCCACTAACCTAACCTACAACGTGCTACACCCTGAGCAAGTGAGTAAGTCATTGAGATGAGGACTGATTGTTAGAGCAGCTAGCAATGTTTTCCCTGACTGTTACAATCCCCCACCCCCTAGTTTTATCACTGAGAAGAGTGAGTCTCAGTGAATAGAAGTACTTTTCCAAAGGACAAAGAAAGAGTTGACAGAAAGGGTCATCCCTAGGAAGGTCCCAGATCTGATTATGGTACTTGATGCCTATTGAACTACCTTTTTGTCCCTGGGCAAGTCATCTAAACACTCCGAGATTTTTACCTTGACTGAAAAGAAAAGGGAAGAAAGAGAGCTGTGGAAGGGATGAGTTGAGAGAGTGCCTCTGCAAGCTGTTTCTTTCTTATTCTAGGGTCAATATATTTACTTCAAATATTACATTCTTTTGGCTCCTGGAGATGATATTAGCAACAATTGCTGCCAATGTATACTGAATTCTTACTATGTAAGTGCATACCTACATACTAGGTGCATAGCACACAACACTCATACTCTGTGGAAGCCCTGTAATACTTTCTGTATACCAGCAGAGTGTCAGGTGCTTCACACTTGCCAGAGAATTTCATGCTCACAACCACCCCATAAAATGAAATACTGAACTGTTGCCTTTGTTACTTTACAGATGAGAAGTCAGGGTCAGGGAGGCTAAGCAAGCTAAGTCACAAGACCAAGGATCAGGGAGTGAAGCTGTGATTCAAACCCAGGCCGGGAAGCTGCAGAGCCTGCACTCTTAACAGGGGTTGTGGTTTGAATGTGGCTTGTCTCCTCTCAAACTCATGCTGACATGGAGAGTCTCCATTATATGCCATTAAGAGGCATTTGGAATCTTTAAAAGATGGTAAAGGTTCTGTCCTCATGAACAAATGTCTATTCCTATGATTCTTGGGCACATGGGTTAAAGGACTCTATCAAGAACCAGTGTGCTGTAAAGCAGATTGGCTGGGTCTCTTGAATGTTACCTGCCCATCACTGTTCTACCCCAGGACTCTGTCAGCAAGAATACCAGA